GCGGGGGGGGGGGTGGGGTTGGCGTACGCGTTGCGTGTGTGTATATATATAAATACATATATATATATATGTAGACACAGGTGATGCTTGCGTTGTATCAAACCAATGTTTCTGCAGGCTGCGGGTGAACAGATGAAAGCTGGGGGGGGGGAGTGTCTCATTTCTTTTCATCTGTGCTTGCAAAACCTTTTGGACTTAGTTTTCAGAGCCATCGAGGACTTATTAAAACTACATCCTGTGGTCAGCCTATGTTGTTTGTACTGTATTGCATAAAATGGATTTTCCACTTACCTGCCTTTCTCGTTCTTGTGAGAGTCCCGGCTTTTTATGCTGTGTGGGAGTTAAGCTCTTTTACCTGCTCCGTGCTGCAGACGCATTTGTGCTTTTAGCAGCCAGTGGAAGCAGACTCGTTGAACATTACTGGATATTTCGGTGATATCCGAGCTGTTCCAGAAGCCTTTCTGGCCTGGCGGGGCTTTGACTGCAGGTGTATCCAGCCACTCAAGATTTCCGGAGGAACGATACGGCCGATGTCAGATTGTGAGTCCGCATGAGCTCTCTCCTGCGAGGAACGGCCGATGTCTTTAAAGTGGCTTTTCATTCATGAGCACCTATTGAGATCTGACACAAAAAGAAACAAAGCAAGAAAACACACAGGTGGCAAAGCTCAGGCGGGGAAGTAAACAGAAATCAGAGTTGGTTTTTCCAGCAGCTTCTTGAGAGAGAGAGAGAACCTTTTCGCAAGCGAGATCAGTGCTGGGGGAGGAAGCTGCCAGTGCCAGGCAGCAAGAGGGGGGGGGGGGGGGGGGGGGTGGCGCCCCTGTCAAGGTGCAAGAGGAGGTGCTGGGTGGCGATTCCAGGAAAGAAGGATCCGCTGAGGGAGGGGGCTTTGTGTGCACCCACACGCTGGCCGAGGGTTCTGGATCACTAGTGGCCTCGGGGGCTCTGGGCACACAGCTTCAGTTCTGCGGGGGGGGGGGGGGCAGTGTGTACTTGGAGGGGCTGTTCCAATGCTCAGGATTGTTCCTCTGGTTTCAGTGGTGGGAGGGGCCGTCCTTCGTGCCTCTCTCTCTCCCAGAAGCCAGAGCTGAGAGGGATGTTGGGGGGCAGCTGCTGTGCTTTGGGAGTGCTACTCGGGGGGGGGGGGTGAACCTTTTGGTGACTGTGGGCTGTGCTCAGCCGGCAGTGCTCCTTCACCTCCCTTGCGTGATGGACGCACGTCTGATTCAGCGTTCCAGGCCTCCTGCTGCATTTTGTGCCTCCAGCCGTGGCCCCAGCTGCGGCCAGATCCTGGAACAATGCACCTTTGGTGCGTGCCGTACATGCTGCACGCTACCCACCTGGCAGCTATGTCCCAACCGCTGGGGACATAAGAACATAAGAGACGCCAATGTTGGATCAGGCCAAAGGCCCATCCAGTCCAACACTCTGTGTCACACAGTGGCCAGAAATACCAGTGCCATCAGGAGGTCCAGCAGTGGGGCCAGGACATTAGAAGCCCTCCCACTGTTGACCCCCCCCCAAGCACCAAGAAGACAGAGCATCACTTGCCCCAGAGCCCCTAGCTATACCTTGTGGCTAATAGCCACTGATGGACCTCTGCTCCATATGCTTATCTAATTCCCTTTTGAAGCCGTCCATGCTTGTAGCACCCACCACTTCCTCCCCCCCCTGAAGAAGCAGGGAGACGGATCCAGGCCCCTGGAGGCGGCGGCAGCCGCTGTGGGCCAGGAGGCAATTGCCACTTCCGAGACCGAGAGAGGATGCTGACTTGGTTTCCTCTGCCAGAGAGAGGCCCCTTTCCTTGCCCAAAGGGGAGATCCATCCCGTTTTAATTGTAATGATTATTTATTGGTTTTAAATTGTTTTATATGTGGCATTTGCCTCTTACGTTAGCCGCCCTGCGCCCATGTGGAAGGGCAAGATATAAGCCTAATAAATTAAAAATAAAAATAAATTAGCCTTGCCCTTGGGGTGAGCAGAGACTCGGGCTCCACAGCTGCTGAGTGTGGGCTTGGAAGAGCTGTGCCGTGGTGTTGCATAGCCACCTCCCTGCTTCAGCTGCCCGGTGAGCGCTTTCCTCCCAGGAAGCCATGCCAGGCTTTGGGGTACTCGTTTTAGTTCTGTGCTCTCAGGGGTTTGTCCAAGAGGGACGTCTCCTCCCTGCCCTGGCTGCCTGTTTCTACATATTAGTCTAGCTTGGGTGTGTGTGTGTGTGTGTGCTTCTGGGTTCCATTCAACTCTCAAAGCAAACTGCATGGAAATTCTGCCCCAAAGAGTACTGACAACTGCCTGTAACCATTTTCCTGCGAAGGGTGGGGCTTTTAAGAACCACCTGGGAGTGGGCTGCATGTCTCTCTGGCCCAGCAGAGACGGGGGGGGGGGGGGGGGGGGAGACTCTCTTGCTCCTTGGAGCGGCAGCAAGCTGGCCAGCACCAAGGGCAGTGCTGCAAGGAAACCAGGGTCGGTAGGCTGGGAGAAGAGCCCCCGGCTGGCCACGGGGTGTTTTCTGGCCCTCCTTCCTCTCCGGAGCGGTAATCCTCCGCTCAAACGTGAAAATTGCTCCAGGATCACAGAAGTGCAAGAATGCATGAGTGACCTGGCATCGCGTTCTGCTGCTAGCCCGCCTTCCCAACATGATGCGGGGCCCTTTCTCTTGGGGGGGGGGGGGGTCTTTTGCGGGGCCCTGCCCTCCC